AAATCAAGGAGAGTCAGCCCATAAAGTATGCTGAAAACTTCTACCATGATTGCCTGGCATTCATCCACATTTCAGACACTGATTTAGGAATTTTGAAATTTACCCATTTCAGCTCAAAAAAAGTTTGCTCAAAATCACATTTTCTTCCAAATTCTCGATTACCATATCGTTTTTACAATGTATAACATGAAATAAAATTACTTACAGGTATCAGCAGATTGCCGCGTGACTATCGAGCAGTCGATCGATAATGGCGAAACGATCAATGCATCAATCAATAATCGAACTTTGGAAGTCTCTCTGAAGGCCCTGCGTATTCAACACGAATTTGCCCCATCCATGCTACAGCTCGTATTTTACGCTCTGCCCAGTGGAATAGCTCAAGTGCTGACCGAAATGCAGCGAACTTATAGCGATTTGGTATGGAAACACCCATTTGTACGAGTTTTCTCCTTTACATAATGTTTTCTAGACATTCTATCCCTTGGCTATCGATACCACAGCTTATCGCAACACCCTCTCTCTTGCCATTGTTGATCGCAATCAGAAAGTAATCTCTGCCAATGATTCGCGTGATATCGTCGCGAGATTCTTCAAAATGGACGAGTTTGCTCATGCTCTGCTAGAGTCAACGGAAACAGATCTTTGTGCCAATGTCTCTTGTGCCAATAATGGGACATGTCAGCAGAAGGTTGTGTGGAAAAGAAAGAGCTCAACATTTACGGAACCAGAGTCGATATGGAGCATACCGGAGGGAGTGGGAATGGCTAGGTTGGAAATGAGCGATCTGGCATTTTGCCAGAATCTGAAATTTGTTTTCAGATGCGATTGTGCTGTTGGCTTTACGGGTGAGAGATGCGAAAACGTCAAAAAGTGTGATCGTACCAGTTGTCCTGATGGAGAGTGCACAGAGGACGGAGACTGTGTTAGAGATTGCGAGAAGACTTGCAAAAAGTGGGTTGCCAACTTTTTTTGGAAGGGGCAACTACCACATTTTCTCATTGTTCACTCAGGCTAATCAGAAATTATTAATTGGGAAGTTTTTTATTACTTGAGCGCCAAAAGTTGTGAAATTACACTAGGGTTAAAATTTGTAAACCTATGTTTTCGAAAACGTCACAAGTTCATAACTTTCCTG